CATTCCCACCCACATCTTTCTGGCCCCTGTCTGGAGTTTCTCCTTTTTTTATTTTTTATTTTTTTTTATTTTTGGCAGATAGGACAGTGCTCTGTTTTTGGTTCATTTCCACCAAGGGCAATCCCTGGAAATGGATCAAAAGAAGAACTTCTGCTGTCCATTTGGCTTAAAGAAACAACTTCTTTTTTTTAAAAAAAATCTGAATTCAAAATCCGACCAATTCCTTTTTTTTGTCCCCAATCAGAAAGAGAAAGATGTTGCCTCTCCACGTTCTGTGTGAACTTCTTGGATTGTGGTTGTTACTGAAAGAAGGATGAGGAAATACACGTTTCCCTCCCATCATCCAGGAGGGCTCTTCTTATGTACCTTTGTAAGATCAGATCTCTCCAGAGTGGGCAGGTCTTTGCACCTTAATCACTCCTAACGCTTAATGGCACTTTTGCATTTAGAGACGTTTAAGTCTTGAAGGCATCTCAGAAGTAATTGTTTGTTCCATGTGGGAGGAAAGGATTGGAAAGTTCCTTAGTTAGGTTCACTGCAACTCTTTTTCGGTTCATCTTTATTGTCCTTCCACTGATGAACAAAGAAAGTTCCAGTCTTTTGGGAATTTCTGAATGATCAGGTTTTCATCCTTCCTTCCGTGCCTTCTCCCAGGTTGGATAAATCCATATTCTGAAAGGTTAGGTTGGCTACTTCCCTGGTAGTTTCCCACTGGTAAACAGAGACCTTTTTTTCAAGCAAGCCGGACGGTTATAACATGGTTTATAATGGTGGTGCATGTTGTTTTTAATTGCTTTCTATGCTGTCTTGCCTGTAAGTTAATCAATTTTATGGTTCCAAATTTCCCAGTTGACCACTAGCTACAGTAAGTTCTATTTGAAGAGAGAAATAAGGGAAAAATGAACCCAACATTTGGCTGCTAACTGAAGCTGTTTTAATTAGCCATTTCTTTTTATTTTGTTTCTTTGTCAATTGAGGGTTATTAAGTGGTTGCCTCATATGGCTGGTTGATTTTTAATGATTATTCTAGAATACTGTTTTATATTTCGGAGTGAGCTATCCTGGTAGACTTCTGAGAGTTATCTGGGTAGGCTTGCTGTGGGAAAATGTGGAGTGTGACGGCTCTGATTTCAGAAGGGTGTTGAGCCCACTCTGGGTTTTAGTCCAAACTTTGAAAAGAGTTTCCAGAGTGCTGAACTTGTTTTGGATGTAGGATTCTGGGACTTGTATAGTTCCTGTAAAATGTGGAGATTCTCCAAAATCAGTCACTGGTGGAACACATCATGGCCAAAGAGTCACGCCCATGACTCCTGGGGTCCACCTCTGGACAACACACTTCAAGAAGGATGCTGATGAATTGGAACAGGTTCAGTGGAGGGCAACGAGGATGATCAGAGGACTGGAAACCAATCCCTTGGAGGAGGAAAGACTGAAAGAACTGGGCATGTTTAGCCTTGAGGAAAGAAGACTGAGGGGACAGAGGATAGCTCTTTTCAAATACTTGAAAGGCTGTCATCCAGAGGTGGGGCAGCATCTGTTCTCGATCATAGCAAAGTGAAAGCCAGATAATAATAATAATAAAGGGCTCAAGTTACAGGAATTTCAGCTGAATATCAGGAAAAAACTTCTTAACTGTTAGAGCAGTCTGACAATGGAACCCATGACTTGGGGAGGTGAGGACGGTTCCAACGCTGGAGGCCTTCAAGGGATACTTAGACAACCGCCTGGCAGATATCCTTTCATTTGTGTTCCTGCCTTGAGTAGGGGGTCGGACTTAATGTCTTTAGAGGCCCTTTCCAACTTCATGATTCTATGGCTGTGGGTTGATCTGGGAAGGATTATCTTCTCAACATGTCATGTAAAACATTTATTTTTGTTTTCCTTTATTTGTAAAAGCAAGGAACAATATTATTTATACCACTGACTCTCAACTTTTGGCCTTCCAGATTTCATGGTAGCACTTTGATACCACTTTACCTGTCATGGCTCCATGCTAAGAAATCCTAAGATCTGTGGTTTGGTGAAGCACTTTTGAGTTCTTTGTGAAAGTGTCCTAGTACACTGGTTCTTAACCTTGGGTTACTCAGGAGTTTTGGACTGCAACTCCCAGAAGCCTTCACCACCAGCTGTGCTGGCTGGGGTTTCTGGGAGTTGCAGTTCAAAAACATCCGAGTAACAAAGGTTAAGAACCACTGTCCTAGTACATCACCCTGAATAATGAAAGATATTTCTAACTGGAGATCCCTGAAGTTTACAGGACCGAGCAGTTAAAGGGGGATTTTCTGTAGATCTTACTATTTCCCAAATGTCTCAGATATATTTCATGATTACTTACAGCTCTCGTTTTGACCAAAAATCTGGAGGTTTTTTTGACAGGGGGAGAATATTTTTTTTTCAAAATTACTTTAGAATTTATTCAACATTTGCACAAAATACAAGGGTTTTGCACAAATAGCCATGCTTTTTGCTAATGCTAATGGTATTTTTTTAAAGTACTGGTTGTTTTGCTGTTCTGTGGGCCTGAAAATCTTATATCAGTGGTCATTATTTCCCAAAACATCGCAGTAGCATTTGATGATAACATTTGCAAGTATTTATTATAGTCTTAGCTTATTTTATCTTACTAGTCTTTTTTTTTTTAAATCTCTTTTGCATTGGGCAATTGTGAAGGAAGGTTCTTGATCAGAATCTATAGAAATGTGATAACTCATAACTGTGAAAAAGAAGAGAAACTTAAGGGTTAGGAGCTTTGGTGGGCTATAACATGGAAGTCCCAAATCCAATATTTGCCAGACTCAAAGGAGGTGGGAAGGGGAGTTATATGAAGACGCTCTGTGAGTTTGGCATCTGTTACTTGTGCAGGGGGCATTCTACTGCTCCTGGAAATCCTGAATTGCACAAAACAGCTCATTTCATTGGGAAGTTCGTAAATGTATGTGGTTTGTTGTTCATGAATAGCAATGAACCACGAACCATCGCAAACCACCCTTTTCCTGGCTTGTACCCCTCTCTAGTCTTGTATACCTAATCTTTCTTGGGAATGTAGCAGAGGAATGCCATGTTTTGCCTGTGTCACTCCTGGAAGCGTTATTTAGGGGACTGTGATGCAAAAATCCACGCGTGCCATCACAGGGACCTACCCACTAGTCTCAGGCGTTGTCCTTAGGAATCTGAGAGAAAGGGAAGCGGACAATACACAACCCACCACCCTTACCAAACAATGCTTCCTACCACCCAGAGTTTGGATATAAAGAACAGCAAGGGAAACTGCTGCCTATAACGAGGAGGTGCCTCCTGTATTTGCTGGGACAGAAAGTACTGCACAGAGAGATGGAACCAGGAGTCAGTGGGCATTTTTGCTCTCTTTCTGTCATTCACACACACACACACACACAGAGAGAGAGAGAGAGAGAGAGAGAGAGAGAGGGAGCCAGAGAGAGAGAGAGAGAGAGAGAGAGAGAGAGGTAGCCAAGCAAGCAAGCATTCACACATATGTACATAACAGCAGAAGGGGAACACGGATGGGACTCTGCCGTACGACACATAGGCAGGCAGGAGGAACCTGGCTCAGCTCGGGTGGGGGGAGCATCCGACGTCTCCTGACGGATGAGTATCTACTGCTCTCAAATTATTCCAATAATGCGACACTTCCAAAGCAGCTCAAGGAAGGACGGCGTTACTTATTTCCTGGTGTAGGAAGTAATTCACCCCCCCACACACAGTGACTCTTAAAAGTTAAAGGGTGTTGTAGAGGAATTTTGATTTGAAACTTCTGTGTACCAGTTTCTTAAGAATCCAGAAGCAGGTTTTCATCCCCCCCCCCAAAAAATGGCACATGCCTTAGTTTCATCCCAGCTGGATTACTGTCATGCGCTCTGCAAGGGGCTGCCGTTATGGGAATGTGTTCAGAAACTTCGGCAAGTCCACACAGTGGCAGCCAGATTGCTAACCAGGGCTGGTCACAGGGATCACATAACTTCTCCATTACAGCAGCTACAAGAGTTACCGTTCCGTTTCCGGGCACAATTCAAAGTATCAGTCCTAACCTTTGAAGCCCTAAACGGCTCGGTTCCAAGCTATGTCAAGAGCCGCATCTCCCATTATGAGCCTGCCGGGTATCAGGAGAGGCCTTTTTCTCAGTCCCATCATCCTCATAGGTGTGTCTGGTGCAGACACGGGAGAGGGCCTTCTCTGTGGCTGCTCCTTTAAACTCTGGAACTCCCTCCCACTGGAAACCAGCCTGGACCCATCTTGGCTCTCCTTCCAAAAGCAGGCTAAGACCTTTCTCTTCAGGCAAGCTTTCCCCGAGCTAAACAAGTGGATTTTTTCAAATAGATTCTTGTGCCTTACTAGTTTTGAATGTGTTTTGATGTTGCTTCTGTTTAACTATGGTATTTGTTTAATTCCTTTTAGCGTTTGTATACTTATTGTTTTTAGCTTTAAATATTGTCTTTGAATGATGTAAGCACCTTTGGTCCTTCTTAAGGAGATAAGCAGGTTAGAAATGTTTTAAATGAATAAGTAAGTAAGTAAGTAAGTAAGTAAGTAAGTAAGTAAGTAAGTAAGTAAGTGAGTAAGAGAGTAAGTGAATGAGTGAGTGAGTGAGTGAGTGAATGAATGAATGAATGAATGAATGAATGAATGAATGAATGAATGAATGAAAAGACACCAAGTAATGCACTGAATAATGCTGCCAGTTAAACGTTAACCCCTGGAACAAACAGCGACAAAGAAATTGCAAATGCTATCAGTAACTATCCGAGCCCTGCTCTGTAGCGCATGAACCCAGTTCTAATCTGCCCTGTGTTTGGCACAACGCCTTTGCTTTTTGTTATTTCAAGTGACAGCAAAACCAGGAGGGTAATAAATGGAGTGCCACCATCTCTTGGCTGATGCCAAGATGCTTTTTTTGGCTTTGGCAGGCCACCCGCTGCAGAGGGCTGGCCTCGCCACCCTCACCTCGAAGAACTTCTTATATTTCTTTCCTTCTCTCTCTGACTTTGGCAAACAGGGGGCAGTTTTAGAAAAACTGGGACTGTGCCGATCTTTAACTGTCCTGAGAACCGTAATGAATGGATTCCCGCCGTTCAAGGATTCGTCTCTTCTCACTGAGGACAAGAAATTCGACGGCGTGCCCGTGAGGATTTATCAGCCTAAAACACCAGCAACTGCCAAAAGGAAAGCTTTCGTTTTCTTTCACGGAGGAGCTGGCATTTTTGGATCTGTTGGTAAGAAGCAAGCCCATGTTTCAATTATGAGTGAATAGACAATGAGGCAGAATTTTCTAAGGAGGTTAAACATTTCTCATTTGTGAAAAGTGTCCATTTAGTTACTGTGTTTCAATCTCTCTCTTTTTTGGCAAAATTCTATTTATTTTTGCACAAAAAAACTGGCATTTTGCACTAATACCGCTTTCCCATTGACTCACCTTTTGAAAACCAAAATGAATGTTTTTCATGTTTTGTACTAATCTGAGCACACTCAAGGGGGCTGCTGAAATTTGCTTTCCGAAAGAAAAGAAAAGCCAGATCAGTTTGTGCTCCATCCTAACCAATTTATTCTGTGGACAGAAATTGATTTCTAAATTCACTCCCCTTCACCCAATAACCAAATCTTACCATTCTGATTCAATCTGGATCTTATACAAATAAGTCTGAATCAGGCCAGTTCAGTCAGTAATTCAGGACTGGTCCAGATCTGCCTCACAGCCATATTACAAGGCCTGTTTTTATTCTGTGTACATACAGGGCTAGACCACACCATGTAGTAAAGCCAGTGAAATCAACCAACATTGTTTTCATTTACTTTGGTTTCCTCAGTTGCTTTTCTATCATTTTAACAGCTGGCATATGCTTTTCATTTCAGAAGCCTACGAGAGAATATTGAGGCATGTTGTCAAAGAAGCTGATTCTGTGGTTGTAGCTGTTGAGTAAGTATCACTCAATATTTTTATTTATTTATTTATTAGATTTGTATCCCGCCCACCTAGACTACGTCTACTCTGGGCGGCTTACAGTAAAAGCATGAAAACAACATATAAAGAATTAAACAACAATATCAATAATATTAGTGGCATTCAAGATGAAAAAGCAAAATGGAAGTTAAAATAGAAAGGAAAATCAAGTGGGAAGGCCTGCCTAAAGAGCCAGGTCTTAAGTTGGCTCTTAAAAACACCCAACGAGGGTGCCAGGCAAATTTCCGACGGAAGTTTATTCCAAAGTTGAGGGGCCACTGCTGAGAAGGCCCGGTTTCTTGTTCTTTCTTTCCGAGCCTCCCTTGGTGTTAGGCCCCTCGGCTGCCTTTCCTGGCTGTATCAAGTGATTCGAGTAGATTTAGGTGGGAGAAGGCGTTCCACTAGGTATCGAGGTCCTATTGCTGTCAAATACTTTCGAAACACCAATAAGACCTTTCGACCTCATTTTGCACTGGGGATTTTGAAGCAGCTGCATTTGGCTGGAAGTTTGAGAGTGTTGTACTTGTGGGTAAATGAAAAGCTCTTGAGTAAGGCTGTAGATGAGGTAGCCCTGTTAGTCGGTGCAAGCATGATAGGTAAAAACAAAATAAAAATAAAAGAACCGATATGGTCAGACCACACATTCTATGCCATATTGGCTTGATTCAGATTGATTTTCTGTGAAGTCTGGATCCCAGCAGAATGAAGCCAGACCAGGGTCCAGGGCGAAGGAAACACAATTTATACTTCAGTTTTTGGATGGGGGGGCACCCAACAAATTGAATGGGGCACAGATCACTTTGCCCCACCGTTCAAGGAAGCATGAAAAGTGCCCTACTATTGAACCTCGGGACCTACTTGTTTGAAATCTGGCAGGGTTCCATCACTCTCTAGGACCCATCGCCTCTCCAGATTTCATGACCACGGGTACAAAACAAAACAAAAGCTATGGAGCTTTAAGTTTTCAAGGTATTCACTTTGCAGATTTGCAAACTGATTCCTATCCAGGGCCCGAATCAAACCTGGAGAGGGAGGACACGAACATCTGGGAGACCTTCAGAAGCTCTGAACTGGGTCTGAACTGCTTAACTCTGCCCCCTTTCATGTGTTCAGAGCCCCAATATGAGAGAGAGAGAGAGAGAGAGTTCCTGGTCATGTATAGCCTCTACACACGAGGAAGCACCCCAATTTTTTTTTTTTTTTTTTGGACTGCAGCTTTTCTATAGAGCGTAGCCTATGTAGCAAGGTCTGAACGATGGAGGTACCAAAATTAGGGTGATAGATGGGACGGGACTAACTGTTGTTGTTGTTGTTGTTGTTGTTGTTGTTGTTGTCGTTGTCGCTGTCATTGTCGTCACATGCAGCCAAGTAGACTCCGACTTATGGCGACTCTATGGATGAGGAACCTCCAGAATGTCTACTCCGCCCCCCCCCCCTTACTGTGCCTCTCTTTGCAGGGACAGAGAGCCAGTCTTGATTCTCTGTCTCTCTCTATCCCGCTAGTACCTTTGTCTCATTCTTCATTTGTATCAGATGACAAGATGCTGTTGTTTCCTTCCTGCACAGAAAGGTTCACACTTTCCCTTCCTCCGTGTATGAATTTTCATTCTTCTCCTTGTTGAAACTGTACTTGTACATATTTTTCTACTGGGTGCACGTTTAGCCATTTGAACGCTGAAGTGTAGGCATGGTTTTGTGAATGCTTCGTATCTCTGGAAGTCAACACAGGCCTTACAAATGTGCCAGTTTCATTGGCAAGGCGTGCTTTGCCTTGCAATTGGATACTTGTGCTTTAAAAATTTGCCTCGGATAATGAGCTACTGCCCCTTTCAGCTCTTTCTTCCCCAGAAAATCCATTGACTGTTTAATCAGTAGCGCTCTTGGCTAAGATCCTATAGAACAATATCAGTCTCTTTTTAAAGACAGCTAAAAGCATCATCCTCTAAAGTACTTAGATAAAGAGTCAGCTGCCTCTTCGTACAACGACTTTGCACTGCTATGCAGGTTCCACAGAAGAAACCAGACATCCGTTGCTGTGCCTTAAACCACATACACAACGGCCACAGACTTTTGGCAATCATGCCTACTGGTCAAAGCAGCAAGAGCCGATTTAGTTCACTCAGAAACACTTAGCTCACATAGTAATTCGGTTGTCTCCTCTCATTATTCATGATGGAATGTACTGCTGTGGCGATGAATTATTTGCTTGGATCCATCAACCTTCAGCATGACTTGTCAGGTGAAGAAGCTGCTAATGAGAAGACCAGCATAGTTCTCAGTCCCGCCACACAGGTGCACTGATTTTCAACAGACCTGTCATTGCTTAGCATCTTAACCATCACATGATGTGAGGTTTCACCAAAGATTAGCTACAAACCATGCTTTAGGAACGGGTTTGTCACAGGTGAGAGAGACAAGAAGAGGTTCTGAGCGTATGCTAAGGAAAATACTCTGGGTGAACGACGGCTACGAAGGTGGTGCTGACATGAGAAATTTGGATTTTGGAACCAGAGGCTAAGCTTCCTGGAGGACTGACGGTTGCCCAATAATGGGTTGCATGACATGAAGATTAGAAAAAACGTCTGTGACCACAGCATGCAAAACTACTTCAGGAAGCTCAGAAGTGAAGGTAGATACAAGCTTGTGCACAATCAGAGGAACAGACCAAGCAGCTCTAACATAACCCAATAATAATCTTCATTTAAATGTATTAAGGAAAGCAGGTCACAGATCACACAATCAATGCTATCTATACACAAATGGCAAGAGTATGGAAAACAAACAAGAAGAACTGGAAATCTTAGTTCAGGCAGGTAAATATGACTTGATAGGGATAACTGAAACTGGGTGGGATGACTCCAATCACCGGAACACGGCAATCAAAGGATATAAATTGTTCAGATTGACCAGAAAGAATAGAAAGGGAGGTGGAGTTGCAGTACATCTCAAAAATACACATTCCTGCACAGAAATACAGGAGGATGAGTTTGGCTGTCCCATCGGGAGCATCTGGATTAATATAATTGGAGAGAAAAACAAAGCAAATGTAGCATTTGGAGTCTACTGATGATCACCCAATCAAGGAGAAGATGTGGATGAAACTTTGAAAAACAAGTCGCAAGAATTTCAAAGAGAAATTCCAATTATCCTAATATATCCTAATATATTCTGCCAAAGATGGACCTTCCAAGAAATAGATAACGTTATCTCTGTCTTTAAAGAGCGGGATAAAGGAGAAACCTGGGAATTACAGATGATTCATCTTGATATCAGTCCCAGATAAAAATTTTAGAGCAGCTTATAAAGCGATCACCCTGCAGCCACCTTGAAATCAATGCAGTAATACCCAGAACCCAACACAGATTTGTCAAGAACAAATCCTGCCAGAATAATTTTTATCTCATTTTGTGATTGACGAAACTTCCTGGTAGATGATGGGAAGGCTGTAGATGTAATATAGCTTAACTTCAGCAAAGCTTTCGACCAAGTGCCCCATGATACTCTGGTTAGCAAGCTAACTAGGTGTGGGCTGGATAGATCAAGTGTCAGGTTGGTTACAGAACTGTACCGAAGTGCTAATCAACGTACTCTTCTCGAACTGGGAAGAGGTAACAAAATGTCTTCAACATTTATATTAATGACTAGGATGAGGGGGTGGAGGAAATGCTTATCAAATTTGCAGATGGCACAAAATTAAGTGGAATACTGTAGCTACTGCTTGGGAAGGTGGAAAGAACGTTCAAGAGGATCTTGAAAGGCTCAAGCACTGGACTGAAAGCAAGAGAATGAAATTTAACAGGGATAAATGCAAGTTCTATGCCTGGGAAATAAATCCCAAAAACTCATTTACAAGATGTGGGATACTTGTCTCAGTAACACTATGAGTGAGGATGAAATCTGGCAGATCACAAGCTCAAGATGAGCCAACAGTGCAGTGCAGCTACTAAAATGCTATATCAGGCTGCATTAAAAGAAGTAAAGTCTCCAAATCCCATGAAGTACCAGTTCCCCTCTATTCGGCACTGGTTAGGCCTCATCCAGAATCCTGTGTCCAGTTCTGGACGCCACACTTCAAGAAGGATGTCAACAACCTAGAGCAAGTTCAGAGGAGGACAACAGGATGATCAGGGGGCTGGAAACCAAGCCGTAGGAAGAAAGACTTAAAGAAGTGCTTATGTTTAGAAGACTGATGGGCAATATGGTAGCACTTTTCAAATATTTGAAAGGTCGTCCAAAAGAGGAGCAGCAGGATTTGTTCTTGATCATTCCAGAGTGGAAGACACACATAAAAGCAAGCTACAGGAAGCCAGACTTATGATGAATATCAGGAAAAACGTACTAGTATGACAGTGAACCAACTACCTGCGGGGAGGGGGGTTTGCTCCAATTCTGGAGGCTCTCAGGAGAAAAGTAGACATCATTAGATCTGCTTTGATTTGGATTCCTGCCTTGAGCAGGGGGTTGGACTTGATGTCCTTAGAGGCCCCTTCCAACTCCATTGTTCTATGATCCTTATGATTTGTACTTGGTACCGATTTTGGAACATTAATGGTAGCTGTTCAGTATGGACATCTGGACTTTGGACGTCCACATCCTTGAGGACTAGAGATCTTGAAGTTAACTGAATGTTAGTCCCAAGTAAAGCAGACCGACTGAAATGATACAGTTTTACTAGTCAGGAGGTCCCTTTGATTTCAATTGGGTTCACTTTTGTTTGGACTAACAATGGATTTAGCACATCATTTTAAAATGGCTTCCAAAACGGCACCCAATGCCTCCTTTCATTTTTGAACAACTGAACGTGCATAAATATTGGTGTCTTGCCGGGCTGACTATGCAACAGGATAAATATGCATTGATCCCCATCTGAATTCACACCTGGGAAATCAAGTCTCTCCAGGTGAATTCAACTTAGCCATCCAGACAAGAATCAGGAGAGAGAGAGAGAGAGAGAGAGAGGAGGAGGAGGAGGAGGAGGAGGAGGAAATTGTCAATCAGCCTTTGTTTGCAGCTTGTTAAGGCAGCCTCTGCTGCAGGTGTCCAAATTTACAGGAGGCAGTGACTACAACACTATCTTTATAAGCTGCAAACAATGTCTTATTAGCAATTTCCTCCTCTCTCATGCTCTCTCTATTGTTGTTGAGGATGATGAGGATGATCTCTTAGGTGCTATACCATGAACTTTGTTCCAATACTGGCACCATGCCTTTAAAAAAATAATAAATGGTTTGGAGACGTGGCATTCAATGGAGGGGAACTCACACACACACACACACAAGTGCCTCTTTCCTTCTTACCCTACTTTGCCAATCACCAGCACCCCTGTATACCTTTTTCTGCATGAGCAGAAGTGGTCACCTGAACCAATTTGAAAGAATTCACTTGTGGAAAAAGGAGGAGGTTCAGCAGCAAAGGAAAAAAGGTAAGGATTCTTGTGGCAGGAGATGGGGACTCAGGCCGGAGTTGTATTGATATGTACAGCACAGAGTCAATGTAAAACAATATGAATATAGTTGTTGTGGGTTTTTCGGGCTCTTTGGCCATGTTCTGAAGGTTGTTCTTCCTAACGTTTCGCCAGTCTCTGTGGCCGGCATCTTCAGAGGATAGGAGTTCTGACTCCCATCCTCTGAAGATGCCACCACAGAGACTGGCAAAACCTTAGGAAGAACAGCCTTCAGAACATGGCCAAAGAGCCCGAAAAACCCACAACAACCACTAGATCCCGGCCGTGAAAGCCTTCGTGAATACATTAAATATGAATATGACTGTCTTGATCTTGGGCCATTTTCCGTGTTATTCATCATTCTAGTTGCCTCCTCAGTTAGAAGTGAGGCACTTGTCAATATACTGTATTGTGTTTTCCCAAAAATAAGACAGGGTCTTACATTAATTTTTTGCTCCAAAAACACATTAGGCTGTATTTTCAGGGGATGTTTTATTTTTTTTCATGTACAATCATCTAGATTGATTCAAATACAGTCATGTCCTCTTCTTCTGGTTGCTGCACAAGGCTGGAGGGCGGGGGTTTCACTGAACTGGGGCTTATTTTCTGGGTAGGGCTTATATGACGAGCATCCTGAAAAATCATAATAGGGCCTATTTTCAGGTTAGGTCTTATTTTTGGGGAAACGGGGTCATTCTCTGGCAAGAGCAACCAGCTTCGGGTCAAATTCTCCAATCAGATATACATCCCATCTAACCGCTTTGTTCTTTTTTTAGATACGATCTGGGACCAGACAGCCCTTACCCAAACCAATACAATCAATGTTTCAAGGCCACGGTACACTTTATGAAACACGTTGACCATTACCACGTGGATGCGTCTCGAATTACCATTGGAGGGGACAGCTGCGGAGCAAATTTCGCAACCCGAATTTGCCAGTTACTGGTGGACAGACCTGACCTCCCGAAAGTGCAAGCCCAGGTTTTGATCTATCCAGGACTGCAGGGTCTCGACTTCTATTTGCCTTCCTATCAACAGAACAGCTGCGTGCCTCTCATGTGGAGGGACACGGTCATCTATTTCTGCTGCCTTTTCCTGAATAAGCCAACCTCTGTCATCAAGGATGTCCTGGAAAGCTGCCACGTTCCAGAAAAGATGAGGCTGAAGTATCACAAATGGGTGAACGCAGACCTTATCCCCAAAGAATTCAAAGTCAGAGGCTACAAACCTCAAGCCCCCGGGTTGTATAAATTCAAACCCAAAGTGCACGAAGAAATGAAAGAAATTTTGGAGGAGACGTTTTCGCCCCTTTTTGCAAAAGACGAAATTGTCCGCCAACTTCCACGGACGTACCTTTTGACCTGTGAGTTTGACGTCCTTAGGGATGATGGCCTGCTGTACAAAAAGCGTCTGGAAGACAATGGAGTGCCAGTAACATGGACTCATATCGAGAACGGCATCCACGGCATCGCTGTGCTTTTTGGCTACGGATTCCTCTCGTTTCCATCCGTAGAACAGATGGTGAACGACTTCACGCAATTTCTCAAAAGCTTGTGAACTTTGGGAGGAGGGGACTGCAGCCCACAACGGAAGATGAGAGAGGAGCCAAACTGGCACAGCGTAGAATTTTCTCCACACTCTCTCTCCACCATTTTGTATTTGCACACGGCCGCCATTTCTGCCCACACAGTTCTAGAACAAAGGTAGATTTGGGAGATTGTGGAGGAATCAAAAGGATGACTAGGCTGACAATACACGGAGTACGTCCCTTCCTCTCCTGCTGTTTCTGTGAGGAAAGGATGTGTCCCAGCGACAAGATTTGTTCCTCTCCTTCTTCTATCATCTGTAAAACAGCCCAATTTGGCTCCAATCTGTTCAGATCCCAACTGTTTTCAATTCGGGCCCAAACACAAATCTCGATTTGGAAATCCAGGTTTTTGTGTCTCCCGGTGACTCAACTCATAGGGGCAGCAAATCTGAGCGGACAAGTTTTATATGCAGGGAGGAGTGCGCACAAACAGTCTTTTTTAAAGTTATGTCCCCACACAAGCAACCAGCCAGGTGCTTACACATAATTTATGCACAGTCTTTGTGCAACGTTGTTACGAAAATTATGTACAGGATACAGCCCTAGCGAGCAATCCTGAAAAAGTTAAGAACTGGTATGGAATTTTTGTGGAAGTATTAAAGGCAATGGACTTCTACTTTCCTGCTCTCAAATGATGTTTTCGAGTAATCTGTAAGAAAATTCCATAAATCCTTGCAAAATATCTGAAAGAGAAGTGCAGGAGTTTGAGAGCCAGTGGACACAGCGTTGGACTCAGGAGGTCTGGGTTCAAATTCTTGTTCCACCACAGAAACTGTGTGGAGGATGGCAGTCGTAAGTACGTTGGCTGCATATATATCCTAGATAGCTTCCTGGCAAATATGGGATGGCTTTCCCGATTGTTAAACACCTTTATAGGTAAACAAAGATGCCATGCGCAAGGATGTCAAGGAGATCTCTCATCTGAATACTGCCCGAGACTTAGTTTTGGCAACTTGTGACTGAAGCCTTATATAATCTCAGGTGGCTCAATGCCGGGCTTCCCTTCTTGTCTTCCTGTCAGAGACAAGATTGTTGTATAACCATTAAGGAATAATTCAAAATATTTAAATTTAACTACAAAATTCAAGGAAATTGGAGCCATGGGTTGAAAATGTGTCTTTATCTGCCTTTGCATTCATTCATTCATTCATTCATTCATTCATTCATTCATTCATTCATTCATTCATTCATTCATTCATTCATTCATTCATTCATTCATTCCCACCCAATTAATGGCAGAAACTCTACTCCGGGCAGCGAACATATCGTAATAGCGCAATCCCAGTAACACTCATGTAATCAGCAAATGTGAAACACGAAAACAAAAGAGAAAATATCTTAAAAATATATAGAGACTATAAACTGTTAAAAATATTAAATACTGTACAATAAAGGTGGCAAAAACAGGGCAGGTACTAAACGAGAGTGGTGGGTCAAGATTACTCTGGGGTAAAGCCAAGTTTTGTCTCCTGAAACCAAGGAGGAACTGGGCTAATCGTACCTCAGGTGGGAGCGAGTTCCAAAGTGAGGAAGCCACCCCCGAGAAGGCCCCGCTTCAAGGGGTAGATTTTTGGGCTATGTGATGATTCCTTTCTGAATCAGATTGATTATACTAATGAGGAGGATTCATGTTGATGTATCTTATCTCTGTCTATATACATATATTTATGAAACTATTTTAACAGAATCTTTAAATAAATACAACATTCACTGTAACTGTTTATAAATGACGCAAGAGCTTCATTTCAAATCCCCCTTCCATCTTCATGTCCTCTTCCATCCATCCTATGTCTTCCCAATGTCTTTGTCCTGAGCTGTCAAATCTGTGACCTAAATATAGCTTACTCTTTATCATCACACGCGATACCATGCTGACCTTCCTACTCAGCCCATGCATGAGATGATGATGCACAACAAGAAAACCCATCCATCTGGAATCCACATTGTTTATCAGGCTCACCTTCCTACATATCAAACACCTGAGAGGTTACACAGTGAAGTTCCACAAATTCCTTAGGATGCAATGACCTATTATTCCCTTTATAAAAGAATCTGAAGGAGAGTCTCTTCTTGAGGTGAAAATGACTTGCCACCTTCTTTTATAAGTGATCTTGACCACTGGGGGGCACCAGGGAGTCATGATAAGTTGACACAGCTACAGTGGTGCCTCGCTAGACAGTTCCCCCACATGACAGTTTTTCCGCTAGACATTGACTTTTTGCGACCGCTATAGCGATTCACAAAACAGTGATTCCTATGGGGGAATTTCGCTGGACAATGTTCGGTCCCTGCTTCGCAAACCGATTTTCGCTAGACGACGATTTTGACAGCTCCCTCCACGCTCGCACAACAGGTGTTTTCAGGACCTAAGCTTTGCAAGACAGCTATTTAAACAGCTGATCGGCGGTTCGCAAAGTGGCTTTCCTATGGCCGATCTTCGCTAGACAACGACGATTCTTCCCCATTGGAATGCATTAAACAGGTTTCAATGCATTCCAATGGGGAAATGCTTTTGGCTCAACAATGATTTCGCTAAACAGCGATTTCAGTGGAACGGATTATCATCTAGCGAGGCACCACTGTAGTTGGAATTGAGAATATTTGGCAAATTCTATGAGAGAGTGTGGTATTTTGGGTTTGAGAAATCAGAGTTTGAAGGAAGCCTGTGCTTAAGACCTGAAGACTAAACCACAATTTGAGGTAAATGGATTTGCCCATTCTGGGAGGGAATTCCTACTGAGACATTCATATATTTAGCAGCACTTAAGAATTATCATCTTTCACCTCTAGGCTATGTATAAAATCTGCCTTGACTAGAGATGGGCACGAATTAAAAAAAAACTAATTGCAAAATTCATCAAAAATCACTAATTCATCAATTTGTATTCATCCAAAGCAATGCCCCCAATTAAGATGAATCAATGAATTTTAGTGATTTGTTGATTTGTTGGGCTATAAAACAGCCCTCTATGTACCTAGAGACACCAAAATCATGGGAAAACTTCCCCTGACTCTCCTCTATAATATCTCCAAGTTGAGTGAAGACTGGGTTTCAGCCTTCTAAGTTATAAACCCACAAAGATAGGCCGACAACTGGCTATCAAGGTGATGCTGCCAGGAAAGTTTCTCCCAGGCACTTAGAGATAAAGAATTTTTATTTAATTATTTATTTATTTGATTTATATCTCGCCCATCTGGTCTGGTCGACCACTCCAGGAAAGTTTTCCCCAAGCACTGAGAGATACCAAAATGGTAGAGAAGCTTCCACCAACTCTCCTCTACAACCCCGCTAATTTTGGTGAAGATTGTTCCCCCCCCCCAAAGCCAGCTGCTAAAGTGTACTTTCCTTGGGGGGACCCGCTTAGTAGGCATATAACTTGGATGTCTCAAACCCAATATTCACCAAACATGGTGGGATTGTAGAGGAGAGTCAGGGCAAGCTTCTCTACCATTTTGGTATCTCTCAGTGCTTGGAGAAAACTTTCCTGGAGAGTCCTCTTTGTGGATGTATAAGCTGGGAGTCCGACACCCAAACGTCATCAACCATGTGTTGCTTGTAGGGGAGAATCGGGGGAAGCGTCTCTGTGATTTTGGTGTCTCTAGGTGCTTGGGGGGGCATTTTATAGGGTTTTAAATGCAAAGCAAATCAACGAATCGATCCACCAATTCGTCAGGAAAAAAATATCATAAATTTGCAATTTGTGATTCACCGATCTTGATGAATCATCAACTGAACATGAATCACCATTTTTTTTCTGATTTGTGCCCATCTTTAGTCTTGGCCCTTGGCCCTTATTCTTGACATAATTTCTCCAACCTTTTGCAAAGAAAGCTTCTGAAAAGGCCATTTTCCTTCCGCTTAGAGATGGGTAAGGACGCCCGAGTCCTTCCTGCCCGGGAAGAGTGCATACGAAACATGGTAACGCCTTGCTCTCTGCCCTTGCCCTCCACCCCTATGCAGGCCCTACCCATGGCCGTATCTTCTGCAAAGAAAGTGGCCGTCTTCTGCTAAGATCACTTCTCTTTCCATCCCTAAAAGTACTACTGGAGCTACCCCCTCTCCTGGGATACTGTAATTTCCTACCAATAAGGCCACACGACTCCCTTAAGAGAGAGCAATGCAAGGAAGGGGATGAAGACAAGCACCTGCCTTGATAAGAGAAGCTAAAACTCCGCTGTAGACAGGCGGTGGCAGAGGGACCTGCTTTTTTCTGCTTGCTGATCCCTAACACAGCAGTGCAGAGGAATGACAGTGAAATGAACTGCAGAGGGTGAGTGAACAGGAGGTTGGTGGGGGAGTAATATTAAGGAAAAGGTATAGTGGAGGAAGGAAAAGGACAAAAGAAAAGGGAGGACAGGAGAAGAAAAGCAGAGAGATCAACGACTTAGATTAATCCCAGAATCTGGAGTAACACCCAGAGAGAGCCTATTCCGAATTATCATGTGCTTGGCTTGAGAGAATGGGGCAACTCATAACACCTACAGAGGCATAGAGAGATTTCAATAGGAGATTTAACAGGAGATTTCAATTATCTCACCTGTGTGGGAACAAGTGACACAGCCAAGAGGTTATGCAAAGACATCACGTCAGACTTTGAAGGTCTCAGAAGGAAATTCAAGGGCTTTGGGGGGCCAGAGAGTCTTCTCAGCCATCCTATCAGTACTTGGAAAGGGACTAGAAAGAGAAGGGGAAATATTCCAGGCCGACAACTGGCTATCTAGGTGATGCTGGCATGAAGGATTTGGATTTTGGGACCATGGGGTATGTTGTCCGGAGGATGGGGCTAATGCCAAAGGACGGTTTGCACCTCACAACGGCTGGGAATAATGTGTTTGGCCACATCATAATTCTTTGCCTTCAAGTAAGTCCTGACCTATGGCAAACTTTTTTTTAAGGATTTTCCAGGTAGGAAACATTCAGAAGTGGTTTATTACCCTTCCCTTCTTCTGGGGCCACTTCTGGAACTGTCCAGCTTGCCCAAGGCTACCCAGGCTGGCTGGTAGCGTGCAGGAGGCAGAGTCAGAAATTAACCTACAGACCTCAGGCTCTAAGCCACAGAGATACCAACTGCCAAATTAATGAGAAAATGCAGGTGAAATTGCAAAATTCCAAAGAGACATGATGTAATAGGATAGAAGTAATATGATACAGTACTTCTATTCTCCTGATAACTGTTGACAGGCAAATTCTGCCAAACATGAAACTTCCAAGAAATTCTTATAGGAGAATTTATGTAGCCTCATAGGTATGTTGAATTTTAGGCAAGCCAATTTTAATAAATTCAGAATCATGATAAAGTCTCATGGCAGGAAACCGGAGCAAGAAAATTAGTCCAAGATGGGTGGGAGTTTCTTTTAAAAAGGAAATTCTAAAGGTGCAACTATAAACAATGTCAACAAGAGAAAAAAAGGGGGAGACAGAAGGGGGGAAAGGCCATCATGGGTTCACAAAAATAAATAAATCACAGAGGACCTGAAGCAAAAAAAGGGGATACATATAGAAAGTGGAACGAAGGCCGGGCGACAAAAGAAGAGTACAGACAGGTAGCAAGGAATTGCAGCATGGTGATAAGAAGGGAAACGCTGAGAAGGAGGCTGATGTGAGGAAGAGATGCTGAAAGCAGTTTTAGGAAGAGATGCTAGAAGCAATTTTAAAAGGCACTCTGTGCAGGTACGTGCATACCAAAAGACAGAGGAAAGTAGCTCAGCTACTCAGTGATGGGCGGGAAAATGAGAAGAGACGACAAAGAAAAGTCAGAAGGGCTCAATTCCTACTTCAGCTCAGTCGTCTCTCAAAAGACAATCTATGCTCTTCCAGGCAAATGTGAACTAAAAAAAAAGGAGGAGACAGGATTGCAGCTGGAGATTGATCAACAGTCAGAGAGTACCTTACTACCTTAAATGAGTTGGAATCCCCAGGGCTGGACGAACTGCATCCGAAAGCATTGAAGGAGCCGGTGGAAGAGATGGGCAGAACCTGCGGTCCATTATTTTTGTAAAATCATGGAGGATGGGTGACGGGATGGATGACTGGAGGAGAGCTAACGTGGTCCCAATCTTCAAACAGGGCAAAAAGGAGGGACCTGGGGAACTACAGACCCAATCAACCTGACATTAATCCCACAGGAAAAAAAAAATCTGGAGCAGGTTAGGAAGCAATCCCTCTGCAAGCACTTGCAAAACAATGCAGTAATAGCCAGAAGCCAACATGGATTTGTCAAGAACAAATCCTGCCAGATTAATCTTATCTCACTTTTTGATTGGGTCCCCTCCCATTGTGAGCCTGCTTGGGTGTTAAGATCATCAGGCGAGGCCTTTCTCTCGATCCCGCCACCTTTTCAGGTGCGTTTGGTGGGGACATGGAAGAGAGCCTTCTCGGTCGTTGCTGCCAGAGACTCTGGAACTCCCTCCCACTGGAGGCCAGCCTGGCCCCATCTCGGATTTCCTTCCACAGGCAGGCCAAGACCTTTCGGTTCATGCGAGCTTTCCCTCTGTGGCTGGCTGCCCGAGTGAGATTTTTACTGTTACTGTTTTGAATGTGTTTTTAGTATTGATCCCATTATCCATTTCTCAGAGTGGTATTTCTTTGTTGTACTTGATTTTTTTTTTTTTTTTGCTTTTAATGATGTAAGCTGCCTTGAGTCTTTTTTAAGGAGAAAGGCAGGATAAAAATATTTTAAACAAAATAAATAATAAATAGTACCTGACTCCAGCAAAGCTATTGATCAAGTGCCCCTGTGATCTCCTGATGAGCAAGCTAACGAGGTGTGGGCTGGATAAATTGAGGGTCAGGTGGATACATACACCCTTGGACACAGAATCATACTGGGAGGGAGAGGATGAATGGGTCCTTCTCTGACTGAGAGGAGATCACAAGTGGGGTTACCCCAAGGCGCAGTCCTGGTCCCGGTGCTCTTCAATATCTTTATTAATGACTCGGATGAGGGAGTGCAGGGAATGCTTGTCAGATTTGCAAATGATATTAAATTGGGTGGAATAGCTAATTCCCTAGAAGGCAGAAACAACATTCAAAATGACCTTGATAGGATGGAGCCCCGGGCCGAACGTGACAGAATGAAATTTGACAGGGATAAGTGCAAAGTCCTGCACCTCGGAAAAAGAAACCAATTGCATAGTTGCAAGAAGGGGGATACTTGGCTCAGCAAAACTACGAGCGAGAAGGACCTTGGAATCATCCTAGATCACAAGCTGAATATGAGCCAACAGTGTGATGTGGCCGCAAAAAAGGCCACTACTGTTTTAGGCTCCATTAACAAAAGTACAGTCTCCAAATCCCATGAGGCTCTAGTTCCCCTTCTATTCAGCACTGGTTAGGTCTCATCTAGAGTACTGGGTCCAGTTCTGGACACCGCACTTGAAGAAGGATGCTGACAAACTGGAGCAAGTTCAGAGGAGGGCAACCAGGAGGATCAGGGGGCTGGAAACCCAAGCCCCGGGAGGAACAACAGAAAGAACAGGGCACGTTTAGCCTGGAGAAAAGAAGGCCGAGGGGTGATAGGATGGCCCTTTTCAAAGACTTTGAAAGGCTGTCCTACAGAGGAGGGGCAAGATCTGTTCTCGATCATCCCAGAGTCCAGGACACACAATCATGGGCTCCATGGAAAACAGATTTCGGTTGAATATCAGGAAAAATTCCTAACTGTTAGAGCAATACAACAATCAAACCACTGACCTTGGGAGGTGGTGAATGCTCCAACACTGGAAACATTCAAGACTTGCTGAGCTCCATGGGAGCTACAAGGGGTTATGGGATTGGTAGGTCTTTAAGGGTCACCTTGTACAGAGTCCAATGAGCAGAGAGTCTACCAGTCCTACAAGCCCTTGCAGTTTCAACAGTTTCAGCCGCAGGTTGAGAAAGGGAATCTGCTGCCATCCAGTGAGCTTGCCAACAACAGATTCTTTTACGTGTGGGAAATATGCCTGAGTGATGGTGTGCCTAACTGTGAAGAAGGCCAAAGGCTTAGTGACTCATGGCTTCCTCTAAGTGATCTCCTTAAAACAGCAGAAAGCTGATTAAGCAATTAGTACACCTGGAATGTGTTGTGACATAATCGCATTGAGTGTATATATCACCATATGCAATGTTGTTAGCACACCGTTTGTAATTCTGAAGATGATAAGACGTGTTTTCCTTGTTGAAAACTTTATTTTTATTGTTTGTTTTTTGTTGTCTTTCTAAATTTTCTTGGAAGCTAAACCTGTGAAGTTTTTTTTTTTTTTTGAAACAATTCAGTCTGTTTAACTGGAGTTGGTCAACTTTTTCTAAGATGCTCCAAGAAAGCAGAAAGATTTTCAGATTTTTTTGGTGTAAAGCCAGGAAATCATTGAGGGTTTTCACCCGCCTGCCATTATACTCTTACCCTGTCCTCGTGGAGGGAGGGAGACACGGCGCCTACCACTTAAGCAGGCTTGGCCTACCCAAAATCTAAGATCAAGTAGACAGCCTCAAGTGAGTTTTCTCCTTCCCACATTTCATGGGGAAAGCTGTATTGTGTTGCACATGCTACCCACGTGCCATTCACAAAGGCTGGGCCTCCATGAAACTAAAGGAAGCAGGGAGCCGCTGATCGGGCTACCAAAGGATGGGAAGAGCGCACAAATGTCACATCGCTCCTTCTCCCGACCTCGCCGGACCCTTTGGAGCCCACCTACAATCCAACCCACACCCCCAAAAAGCCAGTCTGGCTTCCATATTTGCTAAGAATGAAGCTGAGGTGCGGTCCACGTTTGCAGGGGGAAGGGAGAGGAAACCAAACAATTAAATAAAAATGGCTTCTTTATTTGGAGACCTGAGTTGTTATTACCCTCTGTCCACAGCTGCTTCAGCAGTAACTGTAAAACGGCGACCATGCTACTTCCTGACTTACGGCTAAGAAAGACGTGCCTGCTGAAATCCATCTTGCTAAGAACTTCTGGACTTTACACCTAAGAGTAACTTTCCTGGCAAAATCCATCTTGCCACGAACTTTTGGACTTTTAAGTTCTTCAACTGGGTACAAACCTGATGAAGTGGTATTTTGATCCATGAAAGCCCGTGGATTGTCTGACGGTCTAGAAAGGTATCGCCTATTTTTGCATTTGTGTTTCATTTTCTTTGGACCACCTGGCTACCTTCGATTTCAATACAAATATAAATGGGTTCTTAAGAAGCAGGCCAGCTGAAACGGGGAGAGATGGTCCTTCAGGTTTCGGGGTCCCAAATCTTTTAAAAACAACTTCCAGCATCTTATTCCCATGAAAGCGGTGTGGAGGTAGTGAGCACATCTGTCTCTTGTTTGCAGGGCAACGTCCACACCGTACATTATAGCCGTATCAAAAAAGAAAGACGTGAAATGCACGTCAAGAAAGACCTAGAGCACGTTTTCCAGCAAGTCAAATCCTGTTGAGGGTTGGAACAAGGAAGGGTTGCCTGGTCACCTTCTTCCACCCATCTCTGCTGGGCAAACCATCCCAAGCCAGGGCCGGGAGGGGGGGTAAAGCTGTATCTCTCCAGGTTATGCCTGCCCATTCAAGAAGCATGGCCTATGACAAGCTGATTGGACTGAAATCGGAGTCCTCCGTAACGTCAGTCATGACATGCGAAGAGTTTGTAAGACCGTGTGACCAGACACGTCAGAGAAACAGGTGCCTTTGCCATGACCTCTAGGAACCACCAGGTGACACCAGAAAGCCAAGCAAAGCAGTAAGCAAACAGACACAAGAGTGGAAGCAGAAGTACTAAATCACCCTCTGCTGTGCAGTGTGACTTGGTATATTTCTACCCTAGCATATGTTCCACTAAATTCAATGAGGCTTTCTCCCTGGAAATCCTAGGGGTTTTTTTCTCCCTAAAAACCCTTCTCCTGCCCTGGTTTCCAAGGAAACAAGAAGGGACTAAGGGTAGGTTTTTATTTTTTGGACTACAAATCCCATAATTCTCCATTCAGGGAGTTCTACTTGACACTTACCTTACAGAAACCTGAATGTGGCTCACCTGGGAGTAAGGCCTGGACTGGAAGGCCCTGGGGTCCGTGTAAGGCCTAGTTCAGGCCTTTCTTCCAGGTGAGACACATTTAGGTATTTAGTGCCTCCCAGAATGGAGAATTATGAGATTTATAGTGCATGAGATGTAGAAATACCATCCTTGCTGGATAATCAGTCCAAAATGCAGTAGCCAGACTGATGGGAGATTCAAACATATTTTCGACGCGCCTTCGTTAACTCCCTGTTAATTTCTATGCACTATTCAAGGCGCTGGTCCTTACCTACAAAGACCTTAATAGTTTTAGGACTTTGAGACTTGTCGGAACATCTCTTCCGTAAAACAGCAACCCGTCCCACCTGCTCTTCGCAGTCCATGTTGCTAAAATTAGCTACACCGAAGGAAGCCAAATGAGTAAGTAAGCAGAAGAAACTGCCCTTTCTCTGTGGCAGCTCCGTCTTTTTGGAATAAACTTCCCACAGAGGCTGAGCAGGCTCCGTCCCCCCAAGTTTGTAAGAAGCAGGTAAAAAAAACTATACTTTTAAAGGCAGCTTTTGATCAATATTGACCTGAGATTTTAAGTCATTTAATTATCTATTTTTATTTAAATTGAGTAGTTAGTGGTATGGGATTAAGTGTTGTTTTTCATAAACGGTATGTTTGTAGTGTTTTATTTGATTGCATTGTCAGCTGCACCCTGCCCAAAGTACTTTACACTGTGGAGCAATAGACAGCTAAACAAATAAATAAATGCCTAGCTACTGCTGGACTGCAGCCAAAACTGTGCTCGCGGTCCGGGGTTCAATCCAGGTAGCTGGGTCAGAGTTGACTCAACCATCCATCCTTCTGAGGTCGTTAAATTGAGCACCCGTATCCCTGGGGGTGTTGTGTGACCTGCGTAAATTATATTGTAAACCACCCAGAGAGTGCTTAAACCTCTATGGGATATAAGGATATAAGCAGCACACTTTGCTTTTGCTTTCATCACTAGAAAGCCACCGCCTTTGCCCATGTTTTTAAAACTCTTTGGCTGAGCCAGTGGACGGTTTCATCATCTGACGGAGAATGGAACTCCTGCACTCGTATTATGAGGCTCTTTTCCTCAGAGGATCCAGAACGTGAACTTTTCAGATCTTAAGGAGCTTTACACTGAATTCTAAAGCAGATTTTAAGAACGAGAAAACCATGCTAGACGAAGTCCAATAACGATCTGGTCCCGCCCCCTTTCCTTTCCCCACAGTGGCCCGTCACTCCCTTCTGGGAAACCCACAAGCATGATCTGAAAAGAGTTTACAGTGGTGCCTCGCTAGACGATGAAAATCCGTTCCACTGAAATCCCTGTTTAGCGAAATCATTTTCTAGCAAAAAGCATTTCCCCATTGGAATACATTGAAACCTGTTTAATGTGATCCAATGGGGAAGAATCGTCATTGTTTAGCAAAGATCGGCCATAGGAAAGCCACTTTGCGAACTGCTGATCAGCTGTTTAAATAGCTGTCTTGCGAAGCTTAGATCTCGAAAACACCTGTTTTGCGAGCGTGGAGGGAGCTGTCAAAATTGTCGCCTAGCGAAAATCGGTTTGCGAAGCAGGGACCAAACATTGTCCAGCGAAATTCCCCCATAGGAATCCCTGTTTTGCGAATTGCTATAGCGATCTCAAAAAGCCAATGTCTAGCGAAAAAACTGTCATGCGGGGTAACTGTCTAGCAAGGAACCACTGTATAAATCTTTCACTTCTTGGGTTTACAGCTCCCAGCATCACCCAGTTAGTTTAAATCACGATGAAAATAGTTGTGTTTATTGCCTACTTCACTCCATATGGACTTGAGCCAAAAAGCTGCTGTATGTGTGTAGTAACCGACATGGTGTCAGCGCAGCTGCCTCCCTGGACTTGAAATAGATTTGAACATTGCGATACTTCTTTAACAAGGAAGGAAGGAAGGAAGGCATTTCAACAAGACGGGCTAGCTGTACAAGGCTGTTAAAATTAATGCACACATTTTTACACCGAGAGACTTGGGCTGAACTGAGAATGCCTGGTTAATTATTATTAATTAAAGTCAATATCAAATATTTTTACCCTGCCTTTCTCCTTGAAAAGGACCTTAAGGCGTCCTCTATCCTTGAAAGACAATATTTAAAGCTGAAAACAAGAAGTATGCCAATACTTTAAAGGAATGAACAAATACCGCTCAGAGACGGTAAACACAAGTTCTTTACTATTTACTGAGATGGATGGTCCAGTCTAATTCAATATGAGACAGGTTCCTGTGGGTTCCCCACCTTTCCCCTCAATGTGTTCCTTCTGAACCTGGTCCGTCCTTCATTTAGGGAAGAAGTAGGGAGATAGTAGAAGTATGCGTGGTCCATATTTTTAACTAAACTGACCTAATTTTAAGGATTGGTGTGGAATTTCAGTTTATTTTTTTTTCAGAAGGAACTCCCAAAATTTGCAGGGTTTTTTTTCCATTTCAAAATGAAAATTACTTGGCAGCTAGAAATAAACGGACAAAGAGAGATTTGGAGAACCTGAAGTTCACGTATTTATACACACACCCAGCCCAAAACAGATGCTGAACATCCAAAAAGCTCTGTTTCAAGCCATCTGTATTCCCCCGTGGCAGGGCTAAATTAGAGTGGCCCTTTTTTCCTATGATCATCCTGATATTTAACACACAAAGGTACTGTACGGAGTAGCTCTCTCTTCGTTTCAGCACATTTTTTAAAAAACTTGCCAAAATTCACAGATCACATTATTCAGGATAGAAAAGACATGAAGTTTTCAAAATCTGAATGCAGGAGAAAACAAGACAGGCAGTTTTATCTTTCCCTATTAGACATGGTCTGTTGGAATATGAATCGCGGCACCACAGGTGCCATGGAGGTCCATTTCCTCCACCTAGAACCGGCCAGTCCACTCACTGGTCACCGCGCTCTGCTGGGGTCCGTTGTTGTCGTAGTTGCGCCAATTGTGGAAGGAGCCCAGCCAGCATTTCCCCGCCTTCCCAGGCAGCCAACCACTCCAGCAAGGAGGCAGGACAGGGAGTCTCCCCACTCAGCTGATGAGAGATCAGCTGCCCGAGGAGTCAGGGAAGCACCAGATTGGCAATGACAATGAAAGACACACAGCCAGCACACACACCTTTCTTTCATGATTAGACTTCAGAATAAAAATTGTGTTTTCTGAAATGCTGTTGGGGGGAACAACAAACGTGTCTAGGTTTGTCATGCCTTTCCTCCCAAGAAACAGTCATCTTTTAATTTCGGGGCTGCTGTCACCATCTGCAGTGATTATGGAGCCCAATTGCACGTCCCCATTTCAAGGGAGAACTAAAGTCTGCAGTGAGTTTGTGGCCACCTCCAGTTTCATTTGGGAGGGATGGTGTGACCCATAGTGGCTCTCGGCAGCAAAACGAGTCCGTCGAAACCCCGAAGTTGCCTTTCTCATCTTAGAGAGCGTCTGCAGCAAACAGCCTGCCGCCACCCTGACAGCCGTGGCTCCGTCCTACAGAATCCTGGGAGTTTGTCATTTGGGGAGATGCACAGACTCCTTGCGCTCAGTGGTTTCGGTAGCCAAAGGTCGGACGTTCGATTGCTCACTGTCCCTCCCCAGGGGACAAGCCAGCCAGCGTTGTCACGAGCAAGCTGCTCAATTTCAGAAGAAAGGAATGGGAAACCACCACGGCTGCATATTCTCTACCTAGAAAACCCTGGAAAAGGTCACCCTAAGCAAGAAATAAAATCAAAGCAAAAGAGTGCTGCTTATTAATACTAAAAACACATTTAAGGGTACAAGGCACAACAATCCATTAAAAAAAACACCTCTCAGATAGCCAGTCATGAAGGGAAAGCCTGTTTCAAGTGGAAGGTCTTTGCCTGCTTGCAGGAGGACAGCCAAGAGGGGGGCCAGGCTGGCCTCCAGTGGCAAGGAGTTCCAGAGTCTGGCAGCCATGACAGGCCTCCCCTGATGATCTTAACACCCAGGCAGGATCATAAAGCGAGACAAGGTCCTCGAGATGGCTTGGGCCCAAGCCATTTAGAGCTTTAGAGAATAAAACCAGCATTTTGAATTGTGCCCAGAAATGGATTGGCCGCCCTTGAATCTACTGTATGCTTTACTGCAGGAAAGCATGAGGGGAAATCATGAGACTTCTCCAGAAAAACATGCTAACTAGGTTACCTGTCGTAAATCCCGGGAACCATAACCATTAAGGTGCCGATAATTAAAATGGTCTTAAGAGACCCCCTAAACTACAGCCCAATGAGCCACTAACCCAGCGGATGCTTGCTGATAGTAACTGAGATTGTGTGCTGTGTTTCTTGAGTCATTCCCAATACTGGTACTGTATTACACAGGGACACGTTTTCCCTGCAGCCTATGGCTGAGTCACAAAGAATGTGGTGGCAGGAAGCCGGCTAAGCAAAGGTGAGTAAGAAAGACACCCACAGGAGCACATTCCTTTGTCAGAGGTGTTTATATCGAAAAACATCTGGAATTTGGACTGGAAGGACGCCGTGGCTGGTTTCATTCTTTCTTCTTTTTGCTTCTGTAGAATTTTCATTAAATCCTTTTTTTTTTTTTAAAAAGGGGATGACAAAGTCATAGCAAATATCAGCCTATATGTCATTAAAAAAAATAAGCACCTGCCCTTCTAGATGATGGAAAACCTGATGAATCTAAATGAATCTTATGAACATGTACGAATCCCAGCTTTTTATTTACAGATGACAGATATGAGTTACAAAAGAACAACGGGGTTGTGCACAGTCTCCACCACCCATGTGCCTGTCTGCAGATGTTGCTCAGACATGCTTTTGGAAAGAGCTACCTGGGGTAAGCGTGTTAAACCAGGTTTTCCTGAATGGCTGCACCTTCTCAAAAGTAAATAAACATCTGCAACACTCATGGACAAACTTCAGCAGTCACGTTGCCAAGCCTCCTTGGTTCCTGTTTTTCCCCAACGGGCATCTGATGGGCATCTAATTGTCTACACACAATCTTATGAAATGTTTTGCTCAATCAACATCCCTTTTCAAACACTTTCAGGCTTCCTGTGCTTCTCTTGAGGCGACCAGACCCGGTCGTCTTCACAGCTTCTACGATTTCCGACCAAGCGCTGGAGGACAAACCGGGACTTGCATCACTAGAAAACAGCAGACAAGAGGAGATAACAACAAACCTTTGGAACCGGCCAGCGAGCCGTAGCGCATTGCTTACATGAGACCATGGAGCTGAACTATAGCTTTCTGGTGGTCATTTTAGAAATCCTGATCATTCCTTTTCTCCTGTTGCTAGCGTGGGCCATTTATTATGATCTCTCCAAGTCAGAAATTCCTCCTGGAATTGACCAGCCGATGAAGCTTCGTATCCTTCACTGGCTCTTGATTCTTTCATCCTCTCTGGTAAGTTTACGAAGGTTGCAACATTTTTTTTTTAGCCATTCGCGGATATAGTTTTTGTGGGAAGTTTACATCTGTTAGGAAATTGTGGTTCTGTGCAGGACCTACGGGGGGTTGGGGGGGAAACAGAATCGTTTGACCTGGCTTCCACCCCACAGTGAGCCCTCACCTCACCGAGGATGCATGGCTGCCATGCATTCTACAAATAAAGGAAATTATTTTCCTCCCACCCCGGGAGGTGGGGAGTGCTCCAGCGCCGGAGGCCTTCAAGAGAAAAGTTGGACAACCCTCTTTGAGATCTGCTTGGATTTGGTTTCCTGCCTTGAGCAGGGGGTTGGACTCGATGGTCTTCGAGGCCCCTTCTGACTCCATCGCTCTAGGACTCTATGAAAATTGCATGCCATTCTTTACACTATTCTGCAATATTTTTACTGGGACAATCCCAGTAAAAAAAAAAAGAACAATCTTCCCCTTTTGATTGACCCCAATATGTAACATCGAAGAACTATGATATTATATCCAGCTTCGAGGAACATGGTCAACCTCAACAACTGACATCCGAAGAATGTTGATGTTACAGGCAGACAGCAGGGCAGCCTAACTGCTTAAAAAAAACACACACAATGCAGTACTCTGTGGGGAAAATATGGACCTGTGGACCATATGACAATTTTTCTTAACGCAAGGTACCATTTTGGAAAACCCAAGTGACTATTCTTCTAGCAACCCTCCCGACATATCCTTAGGAAAGAACACAGTCCGGCCAACTTCCTAAGGGGACGTATCTCTTCCCTCTGTGAGGTAAAATGTCTGTTCTGAACCCTTAATAGATAACATGAGGCACCTTTCAAGATTGTAATTGGAAATCCCAGTTTTATAGTGTGGTTGAGTAAAATCTGAAGGCAGCCCTCCTGTGCATCCACACCTGCCCCATAGCTCAATATGTACGAAGGCTCGTTGGTCACCTTGCATCTCAGCTGCCCCCAAACATGTTTTCCAGACGCAGGAAAAGAAGGCCTACTTTATTTTTCATCAGGACCCTGAATTCTTCTGACTGGACCCATGTTCAAAAGCCATTGAATTCGACTAAGAAAATCCAGAGCAAGGACTGATTTTGAACGCGAGAGATAAATTAAGTTCACATGGTCTTTCCACAGACTGAAAGAAAAAAGATGCCCAGTTATCTCCTGCTTTCTTTCAGTGTATTCGCGAAGGCTTTCACGGCCGGGATCCAATGGTTGTTGTGGGTTTTTCACGCTCTTTGGCCGTGTTCTGAAAGTTGTTCTTCCTGACCTTTCGCCAGTCTTTGTGGCCGGCATCTTCAGAGGACTGGAGTCAGAACTCTGTTCATGCTCTGAAGAACAACCTTCAGAACATGGCCAAAGAGCCCGGAAAACCCACAACAACCATCAGATCCCGGCCGTGAAAGCCTTCGCGAATACATTTAATAATTTTATTTTTCCAAGGGGAAGGCAGACCAAGAATGTCACCTTCTAATTCATTATAGTGCCGTGTAAGGAATGAAGACAGGGCAATAAGATGAGCTGTTGTGTCACATCACAAGCAGGAGACATTGCACTGAATTGTCAACAAGTAACGAAACGTTCTAATGAAGGCGATATAACATACAAAGTGGAGTCCACTCAGCAGGACTTGTGTCTAAACTAAAGGGTTCAAAAGCAGACTTTTAAGAGTTCAGCTTTCCTTCTGGGTCTGGACAGACACATCTGCCAGTTTCTGCTTTTCCCACATTCAGTTTATATATATATATCTATTTAAGAACTGCCAAGTTATTTTCCATTCTGAATATTTTTTCAAAATGCAAACGTTGGGAAATTCTCCTCAACGATGAACTCAAATGAAGTTTTGACCCCTCCCTAAAGTGGGTGTGATTTACTTGAAATAGTGGCTGTTGCTTAACATCATTCCTTCTTCTTCCCAGAAAAAACAGGCACAAATCTTTTCTGGGAGGTGCTGCTGAAATTGGCTTGGGTGGAGATAGGATTTCCTCATTGTCGTCTCGCTCTTCCTCCCAATATTTGTTTTCTTCCTTTGTCATGTAAATAGGGGAAAATTCTGGAGAACCTTTGCCTCTGCTCTGAGATTCACTTCATCCGCTACACCCAGGAAGGGAAAAGACGGGGCGAAGACCCTAAACTCCACATTAAGGACCTCATGTTTGAAGACATTCCTGTGAGGATTTATCAGCCAAGAGGGTCAAAAGCGGAGCCAAGGAGAAGAGGGGTCATCTTCTTCCACGGTGGAGGCTGGATGTTTGGAAGCATCAGTAAGCCCTCTTTATAAGCCAACAAAATAAAAATGGAGAATCTATGGCCCGGAGAGCCAGCCTGGGTGGCCTTGGGCAAGCTGCACCATCCCAGGGCACCCCAAGAGGAAGGGAATCTGTGGAGAGGAGAGGATGAGAGGGCAGGAATAATAAGTTACTTTATCTCCATATTAGTTTTCAGCTTAAAATGCACCCTTTTTTTTATTTTGCTGATAAATAACTTCAGAGAAAATTCAGGGTGTAGTGAGGTGTTCTGCAAAGTTTGTCATTGCATAAGCCTGAATCAACATCGTTTATTGGGGCATGTTTGCTGTGGCTCTTTAGCAAATAAATATATACCTATTTGGCAGAGAATTCCAAAGCCACGCTCCAACCCAAACAGAGACAGGAAGGGTACAAAAGCCGAAGCTAACACTCTAGGGGGGGAAAATCAGAAAAGACCAGACCGCATGGTCTCCAAAACCATATAAATGCAAGAGCAGGTGATCCCGTTATTAGATCACTTTTTTAAAAAAAAATCAGACAAGCAACAAACAGCTAGCTAGTTCTTGTGGGTAGTTCCAAAAATGATATACTTTAATTTAAGTCCCAAATCCTGAAGGCTGTTGCTGGTTAGGGTCTTTAGATGGGTACAGATGGCAAGCTGGCAAAAGGCTTGTGGGAGAAAGGAGTGGCCAGTCTTTTGAAAATGATCCCCCAACTCTTGAAACAAAAGCAGTCTGCATCCCCATCACCTACCCTTTTGCCTTCTTTTTTGAAACTCAAAAGAATGTCCTATTTGGCTAGGGGAAACAAGGCCAAACAGAGACGCGTGGCGATCCCTCCATCAGAGTTGGGATTAGAATTTAGTTCAATCACCAGGATATCAAGGGAAATTTATCTGTCTATGACTATTTACTCTGCTAGCTGGCGAGATAGTCCTGTGAGTGTGAGGAGGCTGCGAGTTCGATTCCTCCACCGTGGGCCTCCTGGGAGAAGAGCCAGCCGGGGTGGCCTTGGGCAAGCTGGACGGTGGTCCCAGGGCAACCCCAGAAGAAGGGCAAGGGGAAACCACTTCTGAGTATTCTCTACCTAGAAAACCCTAGAAAGGGTCACCATAAGTCAGAATGGGCTTGACAACATATTACTATTATTTTAAAAATACCAGACAGTCAAATCAAAATTATAAAAAAACTGACTGGTATTATAAGGTAAAGGTAAAGGTTCCCCTTGACAATTTTTGTCCAGTCGTGTCCGACTCTAGGGGGCGGTGCTCATCCCCGTTTCCAAGCCATATAGCCATAGAGTTTTGTCCAAAGACAATCTTAGACACGGAACGCTGTTACCTTCCCACCGAGGCAGTCCCTGTTTATCTACTTGCATTTGCATGCTTTCGAACCACTAGGTTGGCGGGAGCTGGGACAAGCGACGGACGCTCACTCCGTCACGTGGATTCGATCTTACGACTTCTGGTCTTTTGACCCTGCAGCACAGGCTTCTGCGGTTTAGCCCGCAACGCCACCACATCCCTTAGCTGGTATTATATAACAGATACAAATCTTCTTTTCTCAAGGCTAAGCGTGCCCCGTTCTTTCCATATTTCCTCTTAGGGTTCGGTTTCCAGTCCCCGAATCCTTATCGACCTCCTCTGAGCTTGTTCCAATTTGTTCACCTGCTTCTTCCAGTGTGGTGTCCAAAACTGGACACAGGACTCCAGATAAGGCCTAACTAGTGATGAATAGAGGGGTCCAAATTCTCTATCTCTTTCATGAACTATCAGTATTCTGATACTATTATTGGATTTTTAATGAAATTGTATGTGGGCTTTGTTAGAAACAATGTCCTGCGATCTGCACTTGTACAAAGAAGTACAATTGAAGGCTAGGAATCAAGCTCAGTAATACATATTTTAAAAAGAAATGTTTAAAACCATCTTTGGGTAATGTGCTGGAGTCCTGGTGCTTCTTTGCCCCTAATCAGGTAATCTAAAAGGATGTCTCCAGAGAGGAATGAATGCCAAAACCGAACTACACTTTGATTATCAATGGCCACTCCATGCACGACGCAACGTAAGGGAATGTCAGGGTCGGAAGCTTCTGCTTTCAAACTTTGTGCTAGGCTACTGAATAAGGCTGGGTAAGAAGAACTTCAATTCAGTTCTTAATTTTAAAATCAGAATTTACCAAATTCACAATTGACATCATATGTGGGATAAGAATACGCAAACACAGGAGAAAACAAGCAAGACAACATGTCCATCCAGGCCCAGAGCCTTCAGCCTTTGACTCTCTCTATTAGGGCTGCCACCTCATTCATTCTAAGAAACAGGAGATCTTTACTAACTACCGTATTTTTCAGTCTATAAGATGCCCCCATGTATAAAATGACCCCCACTTTTCTAACCCAAAAGTAAGAAATCTAAGTGGGATATAGCAAGTGTAGGGGGAAAGAGATCAAAGCCCTGCAGGATCACTTTGATCCCTGCTTTCCCTTCCACTTGTTTTTGTTCTTTCCTCAGCTTAATTCCGTGTATAAGATGACCCTCAATTTCTATTCTAAAGATTTTAGACAAAAGTATAGTCTTATACACAGAAAAAATACGTTCTATGGCGAGGAGGTACAGCCTGGTCTTCTCTGTGGTGGGAATGGCTAGACCTAGCCCAGTGGGAGAATTATGCAGCAGTTACATCTTGAAACATGCTCTAAAACTTTGCAAATTCTTTTCTAGGCGGGTTAGAAAGAATTCAAAAAATGTCAAAAGCAAGAGAGAGAGAAAAAAAACTGATATTTCCCTCCGTCTCATCTTCACGACTTTTATTCCCTCTTTCTCTCTGGGTTAGATTTGTGCCTGGTCGTCCAGTCTTGAAGACAGCTTTGAATTCTTCTAACATGACCTCTCCCACCTTTTTAGATTCCTACGACCACGTGTGCCGTCACATTTCCAAGGAAAGCGATTCTGTGATTGTGTCTGTTGGGTAAGTAAACTGTAAGCAGGAACCGACAACCTAAATTGGGGTATTGATATATTTTTGTTGACATATTAACAAAATGAGCACACTGAAAGGGGCATTACGTGCCTGCCTGTAGACTCGAAGCAAATTCTGTAGAAGGCAAAACTTGACTTTTCTGGAAGACTTTGAGACTCAGCATTGAGGCTAATGACCTTATCCTCACGATCCATCACCCCCAATGGGTGTTATAAGTCAATGACATCAGAAAACCATTGTCTGCTCCCCCTCACCTGAGCTGACCCCCAGGACCGGGATTCACTCATTCAGAGGTACATTCCCCAAAACTCAGCTTGACTTCCTTCCAGGAAGCAGAGCTGCCTAAAATTGTAAAGTGATGCAACACCAACACAACCGCGGTAGCTGAGGATAAGGTCTTTAGCCTCAATGCTGAGTCTCAAAGTCTTCCAGAAAAGTCAAGTTTTGCCTCCTACAGAATTTGCTCCGAGTCTAAGGGCAGGCATGGTAATGGATCATGGGATGGGTGGTCAAACCAATTCTTGAAGGCCACCAGTAGCCCACTCCTCATCTTATTTGATGGAACTTAGGATGTGACTAGATGACAAACTGGATCAGGCTAAATAGGCTCAGTTGAAGTCCAGTGAGGTGTAATGTAGGTATCATTGGGATGATTCTTCCATCCTGTTTTTTTTATTATTATATTGTTATCTTAAGACTTCATAATAATCCATTCTGCCTTGATTGCACTAAGCAATCAAGAAGCCAGGCGGTGCATCAGTAGTGGGTCAGAACAGATCCATGGAACAAATTGAGCTTATAGAGGACTTCCATTGATTCAATGGTCTTGTACTAGTTTCGACTTACTACCAGATTTCAGCCGTTGGGTTGAACCCAATACAGTGGGGTCTCTACTTAAGAACCTAATCCGTATTGGAAGGTGGTTCTCAAGTTGAAAAGTTCTTATGTTGAATCTGCATTTTCCATAGGAATGCATTGAAAACCATTTAATCCGTATCTGCTCTTTTCCGTCCATAGAAACTACTGTAGTCAGTCGTGATCCATTGACACAGTAGGACTTGCATATATTCTTGATGTTCAACTTTTTTTTCATTCATTGGGTCTTTTCCAGTTGAAACTGGATTTTGATGTTTTTCCTCAGTTACTTCTGGTGACATAAAAAAAAAAAGAATCTAAGAATGATTTAAACCGTTAGGGAGATTCATGTGTGAAGATGATCTCTTTGTGCTTCCTGAGAAATCTCTCTTCTGATATCCCAGGTATCATTTGGCCCCCGAGCAGAAATATCCATCCCAGTTTAAGGACTGTTTGACCGCCAGCATCCACTTCATGAAGACCGCAGAAGACTACGGAGTAGATCCAGCACACATTGTCATCAGTGGGGACAGTGTTGGAGGGAATTTGGCGGCCTCCGTCTGCCAAGCTTTATCAAGTCGAATGGATCTCACAAAACCACGGGCTCAGATTTTGATCTACCCCGGCCTACAAGCCATCGATTTTAACTTGCCTTCATACCAGCAAAACCAGGCGGTCCCCATCTTGTACCGAGAACACGTCATTGGTGCAGCCTTGCAATATCTCAACAAGGATTTGTCGGTATTGGAAAGTGTCATGCAAGGGTGCCACGTCCCCAGCGACGTGAAAACAAGGTTCGGGAAATGGATCAACTCGGAGAACATTCCAAATGAGTTCAAGGCCAGAGGTTACAAACCGCATTCCACGACGGCCTTCTTGAACGATGTCTACGAGGTGGTCAAGCAGGCTCTGGAGACGACCTTCTCGCCCCTTATGGCAGAAGACGCTGTTCTTCGCCAGCTTCCCAAGACTTGCATCATCACCTGCGAGTATGATGTTTTAAGGGATGATGGCATTCTCTACAAGAAGCGCCTGGAAGAGAATGGGGTGCCCGTCACTTGGTACCACATCGAAAATGGATTCCACGGCGTGATCAACCTGTTTGATGGATTCTTATCATTTCCCTCAGGCAAAAGGGGAATGAACAGCATTGTGTCATTCCTAAAAAGCTTATGATAACATTGGGGTTTTGACTAAATGACCGCCTTTCCCTCTGGCTGCTCAGAGCTAATGAAAACAACTTTATTTGCCTCAGAAGGATGAGGAGGAAGAGATGAATCAATCCGTTTCTAGGACTACTTAATTTGCTCATGGTTTATCTTTTAGTTTGTTCTATCTAACTATGCAATTTTTTGAAAGAAAGTGGATATATCAGCACACGTATCTTAACTAGAGGGGGGAAAAATTTCCACCTATGATTCGTTGCAAAGCTCACCTATATCTTCTTGCCATCCTGATTTCAAATACTATTGCAAAACACTGTTTTTTAATTCCTGTGTCAAAATTCCTGCACTGGCATGCACCCCATCAGCCTCCCCTCCTGTAGCACCAGTGGGGATGGGATTCCCCAGAGAAAGTGCCATAGGCTCCAACTCAACTTCTAGGCTCAAGTCGGCTTTTATTGGTGGTGCAGGATCACTTCCCCCGGCTTTTCTCCCCTCCCCCCCCCAATCTCACAAAGCCGAGTTACAGTCTCTAAACCCTCGGGCATCGCTTGCCAACTTGGAGACCCAGTTGTCTTCACTGCAGCTTCCCAAAGCCCAACATCTGGCAAGTAGGAAGGAGAGCCTAGGTCCCCAGAACAACCCTTTTCAGGGCGGTGCATATAGACAAGCAAAAGAGGTCAAGCTCTGCAGCTTGTCTCTACCTGTCGCTCGCCTCCCCACGGCCATGACAACGTCCAGGATAACATAGCCCCATCCAAGCACATGGCTTGAATCTCTGGGGCCCGACCCCTGTCACAAGCAAGCAAGCAAACAGAGAGAAGGTAGCCCACTTCCAGCCTTGCCCTCTTCTTCGGAGAGAGGCCAGAGTCCACTTGCTCCTTCATTCTCCTCTCACTCAGCCTCTTCCAGCTGTTTCTCATGGGGGGGGGAGTGGAACAGTCTTGCTTTCTGCTGTCAGCCTGATCCTGAGAAAACTTACCCTCATCCCACCTGCCTGATAGTTGTGTTGCTGGAGCCAGACGGCTTGCTAGGGATCTTGCTAGGGGCCTACATCCCCTCATAACGGGCTTCTGCAAAGCTTTTGGATGGTTTACATTAATTTACATATTTACCTAATACTATTTAGAGAGGATTCCCTGGGAAAGACACTGATGTTAGGAAAGTGTGAAGGCAGGAGGAGAAGGGGACGTCAGAGGACGAGATGGTTGGACAGGGTCTTCGAAGCAACCAACATGAATTTGACCCAACTCCGGGAGGCAATGGAAGACAGGAGGGCCTGGTGTGCTCTGGTCCAAGGGGTCACGAAGAGTCAGGATAGATAGGTAGATAGATAGATAGATAGATAGATAGATAGATAGATAGATAGATAGATAGATAGATAGATAGATAGATAGATAGATAGATAGATAGTTAACTAATGCATGATTTTCTCTTTGACTAAAGCCCACTTTTGCACACTTTCGAAACATTTCTGGACCTTTGAGCATATTGGACTTTCTGCCCTTTGAAGCAGCCTCCCCCCCCCATTACTACCCGCTGGGCGCAGGGTTGCCAGGTCTCGGGGCACTGGCTGAATCCCCAGGGATGTTTAGTGCTTCAGTGTCAGATTTCCAGTCTGCGCGATGGGTCTCATACTGAGCAGCACCGGAGATACAGAAATGTTGAATTTTTGTGTGTATGTGGGGTGGCTTTCGATTCTGGGCACCCGTCTTCACCCCCTTTTCCTCCCGCTGCTGGTTCTGGGCTGGCCGGCTCCTTACCAATGTGTTTCTATCTATCTTCTATTTACTTCCCTTCCATACCTTGAGCCCACTCTGTGACCTCAGAAGAACCCCCTCCCATGACTTTGGTCAAGGTCTGGACTCGAAACCTCCAGCAACAGGATGACACTGACCAGTGAAGGTTTGGTGACTCTTGATTTTGCCAGGATGCCGAAATCTCCCCTGGCTTTAGTTGGAACTTAATAGGAGCGACCCAGCGGCCCAATCTATTTTGGTAATAAAGTTTAGCACTTGTTAATTTCATATTAAAAAACCTGAAGCCCATTAACCGCCATGTCACAAATCAGAATCATCAGCCTTTGTTCTTGTGGATCCAGCATTCAATGTACGTGGACATGTTGGAACAGCCGCTTACAATCGGAGTAAACTACACTGGGTCCTTTAAAGGAGAAAAGTGGGGTGAAAATATGTTAAATAAAATAAAATAAGAGTGGCTGGTAATGAACTACAAGGAGCCACTGGCAATCCCAAATGGAGAGGGCTCAAGGGTTTGGCCACGTAACCCCTCTCTGACCTGGCTACCCATGTTTCTGGATGCCGTTCAAAGTGCTGGTTTTCCCCTGTAAGCAGCGCATCAGCGCAGGTCCCCACGCTTGACAGAACACTTCTCCCACCATGAAACCATCCGGACTCCGAGATCAACATTTGGCCTCTTGCTTACACAAAGTTCTACAACATCCCCGACATTATCATCTTTCAAGCATCTGGTGAAGACATGTCTCTGCTTGCAGATTATTCCACGAGCTGTTCCTAACCCATTCATAAATCTCCATCTCAGGCCTATTATGCAAGACGAGGTGGTACTTTCTCTTGGACCACTAGGGGGGAATGAATGAAACAAATAGCAAGCTTTCCTGGAGGAAAAAAAATCCACTTTTTCGGGCTTTAGGCGCACACTCCCATTCATGGGTGGTGCAGAAAAAATTGTCCAGATATTGATGTCACACAGATGGGCGATTTCTCTTGTGACTGAAGACCCCCACCAACTATTTCTTGGAGAGGGAGGTGTTGCGTTGCATTACCTAGTAGACAAAAGCCAACTGAGAAATGGAACACGTGCAAGAGCAGTAAGGAGGGGCATGGATCGGAAAGGCTTGGAAATCTTGGTGTGTGTTTTTATCCCTTTTCCTTCGCTATTCTCTTTCACCCAGTATCTGCCTGGTCAACAGCGCCACCGCCTGCACCAAAACACATCCTCACCGGTGATCCAAAATACTGTATGCGGGGGGGGGGGGGATAGGCAGGTACTGTACACTGACGCAACGTCAGGAAGCGCTTCTCGGCGGTTCCTTATCAGGATCCGTTATCGGAATATCGGTATTATTTTCAGGGGATGTTTTTTTTTCACGTACCACCATCCACATTGATTCAACCACAATCCTGTCCTCTTCTTCTGGCGGCTGCACAAGGGCGGGGGTTTCACGGCACTGGGGCTGAATTTGGGGGGTAGGGCGTATGTATTAGGAGCATCCGGAAAAAAACATATAGTACTAGGGTTTATTTTCGGGGAAACAGGGTCCTGTGTGTTGATCCTCGCGTGTCAAGGGCGCTGCGCCCACGCTGCCGGCGAAGATCTCGCTGGGGCGCAAAGGAAGGAGGGGGACTCCCGGCTCTCTCTGACCCACGGAAAGGTGTGTGTGGGAGGAGCAGGGAAAGCCCTCTCGGGGATTCCCCCCCCATCCCCCCCATCAAATCCCGCAGGTTGCCTTTAAAAGGGAGGGGCCCCCGGGCGCGCCAGCCAGTCCGCCCGCCCGCGCGGAGAAGGGGAAGGCGGCGCCCGGCAGGCAGGCAGGCAGGCAGGCCTCGGCGCTTAAAAATTTAAAAAATAGGAAATCACCAGGCCTAGATGGTTTTACAT